ACATCTAACATAATAAATACATATTTCTGTCGAACTACGAACATCTTCCTAACCAATCGGGTGCGGAACTAAGTCTCCAAAATATTTGTACATCACGACAAGGCTGCCAATGCCGACTGGTGGGTTTACTCAAGAAAATCTGCTTATGAGATACGATCATGTTGTGAAATCACGCGATGAGGATAATGACATCTGTGTCATCACCATCAGATAACCCAAAACAAAGGTTGAAAAACATGGCGTTTACATGTACTAAGCTATAAGGTTTCAGGCGAATCACCTGACAAATCAAAATAAAAGTTCTTAATTAATAAAACAGTCCTTATCAATATTTGACCGGTACCTCCGAGCAAATGTTTGAAGAGGCGTGCGGTGTTGGACAACTTTTGTACCAAGTCTTGGTTCACGTGTAATTGATTGATGAGCTTCGAGGGAACGAGCAATATGTTTTTGATTACACGAAGATATCCGGCATATATGAACTATGGCGCATATACACCTACATATGTAGGTAATACGTTGACAACCTTATCTTAGTCCAGTGATAAAAGTAATCCGAGAGTATTTCTGTCGTGGAGCATCGTGAAAATGGAAATAAAAGTAGCTGTAAAAACCTTATACATTATAGATTTGAACACTAAAGCTTGGGTTAAGTGTAGCCTCCGAGGGAACAGTTCAGGGCAATACGGAGCGGGCTGCACTCTGGGGGCAGTGGGGTCGCGCAACTTTTTCTGGCCATCTCCCCGGTGTAATCATGCCAAGTATGTGCTGAACTTCGTAATTCACCGCACAATTTGTTTGCCCAGCCATAACATTTACTGGACCCAATTTAGTCCGAGGGTTCGCAGGACCCTTTACTTCAATTTGACTATAAAAGTTTGTGTCCTTTTAGAGCGGTCATAGGGAAGCGATAATTTTGTTTACGTGTATCAGTTCAGTTGTGAATTAGATATTTGTTGTTGTTGTTTTAATCATTAAAAGGTTTACTTTTTACTGAAATCGTTTGTATAATCAAGATTTACTCTCGTTCTCGCTACTTTAGTGGTTTATCATTCAGACTCCGTATGCTCCATGTATCAGTTATTAGAATCCTCAACACCAATTAACATTTAGGTAATAACAAGCTTTTGATGACTTGTGACTGGGACGCGTGATCTCACCGGGCGTGCGGTTCGACAATTGCCCTAAAAGTGCCGCTGATCTAAACCGTTTGCTATGATTACTTGCTCTCGCCGCGGATTAGGATTTGTGGGAATTGCTCTAATTCGTTAAGGTCGCAGATGTCAACAAGCTATGGAAACTTTGTTTGAGAACTCTTGGTTTCTTGGTTTGGCAACTTGTAAATACAGACGTTCAATCATGGTTGTATTATTTGTTTAAATTGTTTCGTTTCAAGGTACCTACTTCCTTATAAAAATAATTTCATGTAAATTTTTACCGTACCGATTTTATTTGAAGGAATAGCAAATGTGAATAAGCCGTATCTAAAATAACCTCTAAAAATACAAGAAAGGCAATCGTTCGTGTTATTATAACTTTCCTTTATTTCGGTGTCTCGATTAAAGCAATTTTGTGGGCGCGAGGCGGCTCGGGTCGACTCCCGCGGGAGACAAGGGAAATTAAGCGTTAAGAATACGGGACTGATTTATCGAAAAATACAAGTAAACGAACCGATTTATTTATGACCCAGCTACTGAACCGATCAACAACATAATCAAGGATTCGCATATCAAAGACGCGTTTGTTGTTTCCGTACATCTGAAGGCTACGTGTGTTTGTATTATCACAAAAAATATTTCTATGAACGAAAAGCCTTCCTGTATTATTTTAATTTCAGATACTTATACTTTTAAAGGGGATATAATCAAAGTTAATAGGAAATTCCTACCGCGGTCCTTTAAAATTTAAAGCCGTAAACCGTCGACTTTTATTCTCATCCGTAACCTTTCGGTTGTAATGAGCTCTCGAAAGTCTCCGTTCTTTTACAACAGTACATGGTGAAATTCTACGGCAATGCGTACTAGGCTGCGCTCTCATGTACAATAAAATCTTTATGTAAATCGTTACGTTTTTCTCATAGAAGGCACGCTTCGTGAATAATTTCCATTATTTGTCTCAGGCCGCCGTGTCTGTGTTCGAATAAATTGTTATGATGACAAATGAGAGTGTATTTTCCACAAAGGTAACATTCTTTTTGGATGAAAGCTGTTTGCTGTAACGAAAACATTGCTATTGCTATAGTTGCGGAGTTTGCTCACGCGTTACCAAACCAATCTTTTAGGAGCTTGTCTCGTCCTGACTCCAGGTTGTATTTGGGAGAGTATTATTGCCGCATGTTCACTGTAAACACAGCTGGAGCCAACTTAATGGAGAGTACACACGTTCGTAATTACTGAGCGACAGTCGCAGCGCGGGATGTTTGCTTGCGGTTGATTCCTGTTATTTCACGCTTGTTTTTGATTGCTTTAATATTTAAATAGCTCCTAATCGTTGCCTGTATGAGACAGCAACCGTTAATAACTATGCACGTTTACATTTCATTGAAGCGATTTTTTAAATGTTTCTTTGTCGTGATTATGTGTATGAAGTAAATGAAAGACCATTGGATAAATTCAAAACATAAATTATGTTTTCGATTATGATTAATAAAATACTTCTTGAACATACATCAAGAAGTATTTTATTAACTCGTTTCCATTGTTCATTGTTGAAGATTGCTTTCTTTGAACTGTTTATGTTATTAAAATACCGAAATATTTCACGAAGAAGGTAGAAAGAAAAAAGCCATTTGTTTTATGTCTGAAGATAAGACGATGTTTTGCAATGCAATGGTCACAAATTGTCTTGTCTAGTTTCTTAGGTTGTATTGCACGCGGACTGGCTAATAAATTAGCAATTACTTAGTCAAATGTCTGGGTTTCAGTCAGTCTAAGGTATTCAAAATAATGTGCATAGTAATCCCTTAATTTGTTTTATTAAGTTTCTACTTTGCTAAGTGGATTGTTATCTTCTGTTGTGCTCCATTCAATGTCAGTGTCAAATTCAATCAATGGTCTAATTACGCCATTGAGTTGATGATGCTCCATTGATAAATTACCCGTCGTTAGCCCCTTCCGCGTATCCTGTGTTCGGTGCGTGAGAGGTCCCATTATTAGTGTATGTTGCCCAATTATATATGCGGGCATTCATGGTTTGCCGCTTACGAGCCTATGGTCCCGAATGATATAATCCTCGTTGATGTTCTATTGCCTTATTGTGTAGTAGCTATGTAAAAAAGTGTTGTAACACTTACTAAACCGTATTTGGTTATGATATCACTTCAATTATGAGAACTTCAAAATGAGACGAGGTTGCGGGCGGAATGCAAAACATAATAAAAATGTGAAATGAAATTGTAACATCTTCAAAACCAGTTGCAGTGGTTACGAATTAATGTAAAGATAAAGAAACCGCATTTTTCCTTTTGCGTGTCGCGGTCATAAAGAAATGTGAGTCGACCTACTTCATAACAAGTTCCAGCTCATATTGACGGAATGGTCGTGGGAGTCGCACATCTATGTCCAGCTGTAATGGCGTGTAGTATCGAGTTTTTATTAGAGGGAAAATTGGCACTGATCGTGGTTTATGGCTTGTAAAACGCCTCTGTGTCCTTGACTGCCCGAGATATCCTAATCGTAACGAGAGGTGAAACAATTTACTGGCCAGCTACTCCCTTATTTATGGTTATTCCCTCACTCTGTATGCAGGAATCGGCAAATTTACTGCCGGCTGTGACGCTTAGGCCGATCGGAATTAGGTATGTATGAACCCCAAATAACCATTGTAAAAGGCCTCTCGGGCACTGCTGTGGTTAAACAAGACGATATTGATAGGAAGCTTCTTATTGAATATTAATGGAATAAAAGTACTCTCAATTTCATTAAGCGTTCAAATTATTCGCTCCATTAAGAGAAAGCTTTGTCCTGTGTCTACATTAAATCTCAAAGTTTGAATCTAGGGCCTTGCTAGCAAAACTTAAGCTTATAAATTTTACCCATAATAAAAGGAATAGTTCAAATGGATAGGATGATGTAACTTGGAAAATTACCGTCGTACCTTTGCCTAGTTTTAGATGTAGGTACTCGTATTCACCTCAAATAGCTCGTGTGTTGAATATAATACGTGTATCTTCATTGATGATGCTAGTGAGAAAGCAATCAAGGGCGCAGCGATTGCATTACCGCCCATTAGCGCGTGCAGCGCTGCAGCGTGCACCGACGCACTCGCGCGACGTGCCGTGACAACAGCCAACAGACTTGCATGTTTTCTTTTTCGGCGGAAAACTAATAAAACTTTGCACGACCCGTTTACTCCACATTTTCGTAAGCGGTCCGAGCGACCCCTCATTCTTCCGACGATTCAATTCCCTTTAAGCGCCGAGCAACAAAGACCTTCCTAAAATAAGAAATGCGACTGAGACCGCCATAAATGGCTAGAAAATAACAAACCTAACCCTAAGCGTGCGTAATTTTAATCATTTACGAAAGAATTCTCCCGTCACAAACAGGTACAGATAGCAAACTCAATATTCCCTAAAATTGAATCCAAAAGATAAAGTTCCGGCCAAATCGGGCAGTTACATAAGTGGAGGCGGGGAGAAGGCCCGCTTACGTAAGGACGTCTGGAGGCTCGGGCATAAAGCACTGAACTAATTCATATTTCTTTGTAGACACCTTTTAACACGGCGACCTATATTTTCGCAAACACATTTCGTATTTCGTGGAAAATTAGCTGTTAATTAGTTTTGCCGCACTTTGAATATTTTAATACGTTCCAATTTGCGCCACTCTGTTTTCATAGGAGCGTTCCTAATTACGCGGGATCACGTCTAGCGAGCGGAATCGGCCGTTAAGAATGCAATAAGTTTGAGATCGGCAATGGCTGTGCAAATATGCACGTCGGGCCGGCAAACACTTATCGGACATCGGGGATTCCGCCGGGGTTCGTCTGTAAATATTTACCTCGGGCACGCTGCCATTGACGCTAGCGCGTCCTCACCATAACAACGGGGGCACACGCTACATCATACACACTGGCACGGTTCACTCGTCACTGCGGCTGGGAACTTTTCCGACGGTGGTGGGGCTGGGGCGGACGTGAGGCCGCGGCGGCGGGCAGATCGCGACTACCGCCGGTGCCGGCTCCATACTCGAAATTCGAGGTCTTAGTGGGCATTAGCGGACTAAGCGGTGACAAAGGTCATGGTTTCGCTCGCTCGGATAAACATGCATGGCGAACAAATCCCATTCGTGGACGAATAAACCGGAGATTATTTGATTATACCTACGAGTAATATATCGATTCGATACGGAAAAGCTGAAAGCTTTTCTCCTTTTTTGGACATTTGCAAGTCAAATGAGAAAACGTTTTTGGATAAAATATTACTCTGGGAATATTTGTGAAAGTCAACGGATTGAGTTCATGTCTTCTATTTCTGATGCATTAGTGATAATTATATTTTTCGAGGTCTCGTCATTATCTATCAATTAGTCATAGCATTTGTCCTGAAAGCGGTAGTAAGTAATATAAACAGTTAATCATACCATGACTAGCAAACATTAAAATTTATTTGATTAGAATAATGAAGAATGTTCACTAATTTTGTTTTTTAGCTTTCTGTATTCTCTGTTAAAAATAAAAAATACACGTGAAAGAATTATTTCGATACGTTAATTAGTTTCCAAGATATTGAATTTTAAAAGTGCGGGCGGCGGCCGGCCCGCCATTTTATGCGCGTGACGNAAATCCCATTTGTGGACGAATAAACCGGAGATTATTTGATTATACCTAATATATCGATTCTATACGGAAAAGCTGAAAGCTTTTCTCCTTTTTGAACATTTGCAAGTCAAATGAGAAAACGTTTTTGGGATAAAATATTACTCTGGGAATATTTGTAAAAGTCAGCGGATTGGGTTCATGTATTTCTGATGCATAATGTTAATTATATTTTAATTATAGCATTTGTCCTGAAAGCGGTAGTAAGTAATATAAACAGTTTAATCATACCATGACTAGCACACATTATTTATTTGATTAGAATAATTATGTTAAAGATAGGATTATTTATGTAAAAAGTTAGGTCTTCAGGGATACGGAAGTTTTTTAATATGCTAATGTTTCGCTTGGTTAACAAAGTTTAGAAAACTCGTTACTGATGGAACTGGTTTTACTGATAATAACATAACTGCATGCTTGTTGGACTTACCTAGTTTCATACGATACACGCCAATCGTGAGTTTTAGAAGTTAATTAAAATCTTTTGTAATCTTTATCAGACAGCGGATTATTGCCGGCGGGTCTTTCTTAGCACACCCAACTAGTTAAGTTATTAATTGATACGACCAGCCTTCGAACCCGGAACTATTTGCGATCAAGGCTATTCACTACGTCACAAATGTTGAAGATTTCTATCATTGAAATATTATTAAAGGATCCATCAAGATAAACATTGTGACATCCTAATGTAATTAGGTTTGTAAATAATATTTTGCAACAAAAATTTCGATAACCCAGTGAATTGGCAACTAATGGGCCGTCTTGACTGACTAAAACTCCATATTTTCACAATTAAACCGCTGGTTAACTTTAGATAACTGCATACTTTGAACTCAGGAGTAACGCGTTGGCCAGTTTTCATCATGATAGTGTAACTAATGTTCCTTACCTTAGAACTTTTAGAAACCCTTATAAGACCACCCACGTGTCACAGTGAATTTTCTCGGAAACTTCTGTATGGATTAGCTTGAATTTTGCCACAAAGATGTAGTTTCGTAACTCTAATTACTTATTCGTAAATAAATCACGGGCTAAATCAAACGAATGAGTATCAAATTACGACGTTATTTCGTTGAACTCGTAATTAATTCCTAGATAAAAGGAAAATATCGCACAACTACACGATTGAAAAGAATGTAATCTATGGTTTGGTCATTATTTCAGTTAACTAAGCTTAGGCGCAGACCACCGACATTTAGTTGGCCGATAGCAGTTGGGTCGGGCTGTTAATCAGTATGGGCATGTATGAAACTGCGCACACTACACCGATTTGGTATCGGCCGTTTCTTCATACAAATTAAAATCGGGCCCAACTATCTAACTGCCAACTAAAGGTCAGTGGTCTGCGCCTAGGCTAAGTAGTATTCATGCTAGGTGTGCATTTAAAAATCATGTGAGATGCTCAATAAAGCTAAATTAAGATGTCCATAATTACCGATCATTGTTTAACAGCGATTCCAAATGATGCCGGTGTAGTCTTCTGCGGCGTCGTATGTTACGCGGCTCGTATGAGACGCGGCTCGTATGTTACGCGGCTCGTATGTTACGCGGCTCGTATGTTACGCGGCTCGTTTGTTAGGTGGCTCGTATGTTACGCGGCTCGTATGTTACGCGGCTCGTATGTTACGCGGCTCGTATGTTACGCGGCTCGTAGTCGTAGATTGCCGCGTTGATTTACGATCCGCCGGCGCTACTTGTTACTTCATCGCCGCCGCAGTTAGCAATAACAATAACGCAATTTGTGCTAGCTAAATTATTGCGATATAGTTTACCTAATAAGAAGGCTCCTATCGTGTCGCAGAATCGTGTAACTCGTTTCGTTTCAGCCAAATGACGTCCACTGCTGGACAAAGGCCTCCCCCAAGGTTTTCCACAATGAACGGTCCTGCGCTGCCCGCATCCAGGCTCTTCCCGCGACCTTTACCAGATCGTGGTCAAAGTAACCGACATAGCCCGCAGAATTGCTAAAATCAAATGGCAGTGGGCGGGGCACATATAGCTCGTAGAGACGATGGCCGTTGGGGCAGGAAAGTTCTCGAGTGGCGACCACGGGCTGGAAGACGTAGCGTGGGCAGGCCTCCTACTAATCGTGTAACTATCCCACACAATTTGACAGCAGTAAATGTATATGCGTGCATTTAATGAGTTGATGTCTGTGCCAAAGGCTCAAGAAATGCGTAAGTGGCTCTACAAAAATACGCAGTGACTTTCCAACAATACACGTGTTCTTGAATAAAACGCAGTTGTCATCGTCTATAGTCTGAAAGATTACACAATGTAATATCTAGCCAGTGTAATTTCTGTAGAAACTTGTGCCATAGATTATATAACTTGTACCTCACGTTTGGGGGTTATTTTGTTACGAGCGAACCATTCGGATCATTCCACGGCTACACGTGCGCGAATAAAAGGTTTGCGATTCAATGTGTTTTAAAACTTAGGTTTCTTTACTGTGTTTATGTTATTTGTTTTGTCTTTAAATTAAAGATCAAGAGATAGAGATACGTAGAAAAATGAAATGTGAAATTATATCGAGCGAGATTGTTCTGTCGCGAAGCAGTGGTAAAGTTGGGTTGGGACTTGTAAAAGTGCTCTTTGGCAGCCTAAATAACGATTTGATTTGATAGAGTCCACGTAGTAAATTAAGAAAACTCATCCTAGTCGGTGTAATGCATTTCCATGCTTTTGTAAACCTGTGGCTGGGCGTTTAGACGCACATTAGGCTTTATTCGCGCGCACAACCGCTCGGAGCCGCGGGTCCCTGCGTTTCATTAGCAACGCAAACAAGGCGCCGGCGCGGGCGGCTCTATTATTAAACAATTATGTCTCCACTGCACCTCGGCAGGTTGCTAGTGATGCCCCGCGGGGAGGCTTGCTATTGACTACCGTCTACCACATTGGTTCCCCAACTTATAAAAACTCATAAAACTCATTTATTTTTGCAAATAGCCTTTTAAAAATCACTTTTATACGTTCCAATATTAACCCTACCACTGCTTCGGGACAATAAATGGGCCAGTGCTGAGAAGAAGCAGCGGAAGAAACTCAGTCACTATTGTCAGCCTCCTTTTCAAGGGTTTACAGTCTTTAAAATATACAAATTATAGTCATAAGTCACATATTTGAGACGCGCCCCCTTTCAACCATACAAAATTCCGCGCCCCCCTTCTCCATTCAAGATTATTTATTGATCGTATCAAGCAGTCTGGAATGCATTCTCTCAGCGGTCGCAGGTTTTTTATACTTAAGTACACAGATGGCCCGCGCCCCCTTTAAAGGTCTTTGCGCCTCACCTGGGGGGCGCGCCCCCCATTTTGGGAACCAATGGTCTACCAGCTGCTAACTGGATACTACATCTAGAGCAGTAGGCTTAACTGTTGCATAAGATTAAAAGCGTAGGCTAATAGCATTTGTAGAACTATATTGTTGCTCTCATAGAGCTTAAAGCTTTGTATCACAAACATCCAATATATCTGGCGTGTAGCACTGAATTATAATGAGCTCACGAAACTCGTTACATTACGTCTTACAATGTGACATTGTCAATACGTGAGTGACTTCAATACGTACGATATTTATGTTTTGTTCTCGCAGTAGTACTCTTGTGTGAACTATTATGAAAACCTTTGTTCACAACATTGGTGATCAATTAGAACGTTGGTATACCTATGTACTTGAGGATCGAATCCAGCGTTGTGCAAAAGCTAAATATGTAAAGACCTGAATACGAAGGCAGATGATGATTTATTTAGATAGGTACTACAGTGGAGAACTGAACCTAGAACAGCACTAACGGGTCGTTACACAGTATTTGTCTTTCATTTATGCAACGAGACGGTACGCTTAAAGAATTCTGCGGCTATCCGCGAAAACGTTTCCAAGCTCTCCTGCTCTAAAAGTTTACAAATATCCTCGAGCTACGGTGCATTCAGATTTGTATAAGTACCACTTACCTATCGTATCATATAGCCTGCAAATATACTTCCAACTACAGCTTCACTAAGTAAATAAACTTATGTATTTGCCGTGACATGAACATAAAAGTGCAAACCAGCACAAAACATATCGTTAATCTTTGTGTTCATGCTGTGTGCATTCGTCCTCGTAAGTTGTTTGCAGCTTGATCTCAGTAGCCCAGAATCTTCAAGGCCGATGAAAAGCGTTAAGTACCTTGGAATTGCAATTAAAACTTATCTAACTGTTCAAAAACAAAGTAGTAAAATCGCTGGAGTCTGGCGACTCTATTGTTCCCAAGTTTGTTCGTTTGGGCGTGAATATTATCTAAGGAGATTACTCTTCGGGGCTTATCCCTGAGTTTGCATGAACAATCTTTACTATCTAGTTTATGTTAATAATCC